GCGCCGAATGATTCTGTCAGCATTAAAGACTTTTAAAATAATTTAACTCACTTTCATGTTTTAATGCCTTCTGTTTGTGATCCGATGTGAATTCTGATCACCGTATAAGGTAGAAATATTTATACGCGATGCAAAAGACTATGCGCGCCGCTAACCATTACCATAGTAAACATAGTAAACGCTTGAAGATACGCATAGTAAAAAAACATGTTGAACGCTTGAAGAAGTCAGACCATTCATAAAGGCTATCACAATCATGTTTTTATTTTATCTGTCAGTAGCCTACATATACTACATAGTAGTCTCTTTATACCGGACTATCTACTTTTTTTTCGGGAGCTTCCTGTTTCTCTGACTGAAAATATATCTGTAGCTACTGGGAGTCGAGACTGTGCTAACGCTCCTCAGGTCGTATTTTTGGTGGGATATAACATTATTTGTAGAAATTCTCATTCTTTCTAAATGTGATATATGTCCTGTAACTACCAAATAAACAGAAACAGCCTCGACTGAATAATGTAAGTGTGTCCTCTTTCTTTTGTGAAATAGACCTAACGGTCATTTATTTCTGTGTGACTAATGTGCAATTTTGACATAAATTAATTCATTATGATCAATGTATCACTTTTTATTGTAAACCTGTGGTAAAACATCGATGCTTGGGTTTTAAATATTCAAGTAAACAACAAAAATGCCAGCAAACGGCCGCTTTTATCATGTTTGTTTTGCGATGCACGCTGTTTCCAGTGATTTCTTTCTGATTAGTTTTCTGGTAAAACTTCCATTTGTTGGTGAAATGATGGGTTAGTGTGACGTTGTTCCAGAGAGGCGTGTTGCGGGCGTGTTTTAGTGACGCGCTGTGGAGCTTCTGGCCCGACAGTGTAAACGCAGGTCAGGTGCTACTGGCCCGAGGCTATTAGCCCGGCATGGCCCGTTTAAAGCCCTGGCCCGACAGTGGAAACGCGGCTATTGAATGATTTATATACCAGTAATAATACTTTAAAATCCATCCTAAATGTAACTGGGAACCAGTGTAAAGACCTGAGGACTGGTGTGATATGTTCATATTTTCTGGTCCTGCTCAGAATCCTGGCAGCAGCGTTCTGTATGAGCTGCAACTGTCTTATGGCCTTTTTAGGAAGGCCAGTGAGGAGTCCATTACAATAATCCACCCTGCTGGTGATAAAAGCATGCACAAGTTTCTCAGCATCTAATTCTTGCAATATTTTTCAGATGATAGTATGCTGGTTTAGTTATTGCTTTGACATGACTGCTGAAACTAAGGTCTGACTCTAGAGATACACCAAGATTCCTGACTTGATATTTAGTTGTTAGACCCCTAGCGTCAAGGTATGCATTCACCTTGAGAACTTCATATGTTTCCAAAAGCAATGACTGCACAGTGAGTCAATGGGGCTGTAGTCGTTAGGCGATAGGGCTAAGTAGAGCTGTGTGTAATCTGCAAAGCTGTGGTAGGCAATTTGGTTCTTTCTCATTGTTTGGCTCATTGGGAGGATATACAGGTTGAATAGGAGTGGCGCAAGAATTGAGCCTTGAGGGACTCCACATGTCATGGATGTCCACTCAGACTTATGGTCCTCTATACTCACATAATAACCTCTCCCTTCTAAGTATGACCTGAACCATTTTAGGAATATCCCAGAAAGCCCCACCCAGTTTTCTAGCCTGTCAAGAAGTATGTCGTGGACGACAGTGTCAAATGCAGCACTGAGGTCGAGTAGTACCAGTACTGATAATTTGCCTGTATCAGTATTTCAACGAATATCGTTTCTTATCTTTATGATGCACTCTGTGCAGTGATGCTATCGGAAACCAGATTGAAAATTGTCAAAGTATTAAGAATTAGTTCAGCTGATTGAAGACAACTTTTTCAATGATCTTGGCTATAAAACGAAGATTTGAGATTTGTCTATAGTTGCTTAATATGGTCTTATCCAGATTGCTCTTTTTCGGGAGGAGCTTGACAACTGCAGTTTTCAGGAAGTTTTCAGGAGAAAACGCCCAGAGAGAAGTGAGGCATTTACCATTTCTATGAGATCTGCTTCTAAACTTTTTAACACACTTTTGAAAAAAGATGTGGGAAGTGCGTAAAGGGCACAGGTGGATGTTAAGGTGCTGTACAGTTTCTTCCAGGGGCGGCAGTTGCTCAGTGGTTCATGTAGGTTGTCTACAAACCGGAAGGTTGGTGGTTCAATCCCCGGTTCCACCTGACCAAGTGTCGAGGTGTCCATGAGCAAGACACCTAACCCCAGCTGCTCCCGACGAGCTGGATGGCGCCTTGTATGGCTGACACCGCCGTCGGTGAATGTGAGGCAAATTGTAAAGCGCTTTGGTGGCCATTAGGTCTGTGAACGTGCTATATAAATGCAGTCCATTTACCATTCCAAAATTTTGCCATCAATTTCTTCGAAATCAGACATAGTAACTACTTTCTCAGGTTGTGGTCTGATCTCTCTGACCCCAGCGCAACTCAAGGTGTGCTGATCACCTTTATGATTATGATATTATTGATTTTCTCAGAGAGCATTTCACTGGGAAATTGGTTTGGGGGGTTTGTCAGACTCTCTACAGTAGCAAAAAGAGTGCATGTGTTGTTTAAGTTGCTGTTTATAATATAGAGAAGAAAGTCTGTCTAGCTTTCCATATTGAAAGCATGGATGCTTTCTTTGTAGATGTTATAATGGACTACAAGTTTTGGCAGGTCACTTGGGAAACACAACTGAGGCACTAGGAGATTAAATCCTCCCCGACCACACCTCATCTCCTCCTGGGTCCTCTCTGTGGTCCTTCCCGTCTACAGAGAGCCCCCTTCGAGCCACTTGAGTCAGTCGAGTTCCCCGTTCTTTCTATTTAGGACTACTGTCCTTGGGCTTATACGGGGTGCTGGATAGGTTACGACTGTGTGAGGGCAGTTGTCAAAAGGGCACGATACAGCTTGCCAGCACCTGCGTCTCCGACACACGTAATGCTTTTCACAGCGCTTTTGTGGCGCTTTTTATAGGGACATCAGTCTCGACGTAACATCAAATATGACTGACTGAATGAGAATGTCTAGGTTACTAAGGTAACCCCTGTTCCCTGAAGGAGGGAACGGAGGCGTTATGTCCCCCCTGCCACAGGCCCGAACCACCGCTGAATGGCCGGGATCCTGTTTCGGCTCCTCAGCAAAGTACATGAATGAAGGGAGTAATGCCAGTCACATTTATACCCGTATGTAAGGGTAGGTGTGACTCAGCATGCAAATATCACTGGCCAATGTCCATTGACTGGTTTAATTACCACTTGGAGGTGATTGGGCTCACAGGCGAGACCCCATTACAGCAGTATTGATGTAACGTCTCTTTCAGGGAACAGGGTTTACATTGTTAAAAAGAGCGGCTGAATGTCTAGGTTACTAGTTAACTTATTTTGAGATCATCAGGTCAACAAACTCTGTAAACACTGGTCACAGACACGGAGATGTATCGTTAATTTCACCAAGCTGATTGCTCATTAAAACCACACATTCATCACGTTTTTATAAAAATTTCAAGTTTGATTTTGGCGTGACAAAGCAATGATATCGAAGTGGCTGAGTTTTTTTTTTACTTTTTAATTAGTCTTCTCATTAACAACATAATTTTGTTCATTCAGAACAATGAACACAAATGAACATTGTGAACACGCACAAAAACAAGAGGTGGGATATAACACATAATTGGAAGTATCTTAATTTATTTGCTTTGATATTTTGCTTCACTAAAATCATTTATTAAGGTTTCTGGTGCAAAATAGCTGGATACAAATTAATCATCACAAATTTACGAACAATCATGCTTCCAGGTGGTCTAAAATTAACCGCAGCGTCATGGGAGACAGCAGTTTCCGACCGGAAGTTATGGCAGATCTGACCATCACCTATAGACAGATTACCTAACCCTTAAACTACTGGCCTGGCGGTGGTATCTGCAGCTGTATACTATTGGGGGCTCTGGCAGCTAGCTATACTGTTGGCTAATCAAACATATTCAGGGGTATAACTAATTACAGACTGGTTAAGATGGGAGAGCATAGGAAGAGAGAATAATTCAGTTCACTTTTAACTGAGTTTATGATATTAAAATAGTTATCTTAGCCAGTAATAGCTTGTTGCTCGCCATCGCTCGCTCTTCTCTCAGACTAGTGGCGGCAGTAGCGGAAAAATGTGTGCGTAACAGGTCATTTTGAAAGTCCTTTTTTTACCTTGGAGGGTAGAGACCGCCCAATGACAGGCAGCTTCACTCACAATCAAAACTTTTCAACTCGCAAGGAAAAGATTTAGACACACAAAAAAAGACCAGAACAGAACAAAATTTGTGGGTTAGTGATGAAAAGAGTTTGAAGAACTCTGCAAAGAATTTTTTTTTCAAATGATTTTCAAAGATTACACGCACTGCAAATAATTTGCAAATATTGATTAAATTGATCAACTTCTTTATTTTTGAGCCTTAATATTTGAGCCTTATTTTGCAATATTGAATTTTTTTTTGTTACAAAATAATTGGTTTTACTCTCAAACACAGTATGTTTGATTGAATAAAAAAGACACAAAGGAAACTCCGTATGTCAGCTCTGTCTGAATTAGACACATTCATATAACAAATAATTGAACAAGGATAAATCACTGGTGATGAACATGGAGTCTTGTAGAAATGTCACCTGATCAGACGAGGATCTGACATGAGTCACATTTAAAAGGTAAGCCTAATCTATTTTTGGACACATTTAACTGCAGTGTGAAAGTATCTTCGATTTCACACATATTTTCTGGTGCCATTGTAAACTGCTGGGCCATTTAAAACTCTTTCTACAAAGAGAACAAGAATATGGTCTCACATTTGCATGAATTTGCATGTGTATCTGCAAGAGTGATAACAAAATAAATTTTTGATTACACTGATCACAATTAAATCGTCTTCCTCCAGAGGGTTTGAAATTGCTCGTTTTCATTAACTTCTTACCACACACAGAACCTTGTAATTTCTTTCCAGAATGAGTTTGCAAATGACATTTCAGGTCTCTATGATAAGTGAAACTCAAATCACACTCAAGACACTTGTAAGGCTTTGCTCCAGTGTGAAGCCTAAGATGAACCTCAAGGTTTCCTTTAGTTGCGACACTCTTTCCACACTGAGGGCATGTGAAGGGCTTCTCTCCAGTGTGAACTCTCATGTGAATCACAAGGTTTGCTTTGGTTTTGCAAGTCTTTCCACAATGAAGGCACATGTGAGGCCTCTCTCCAATGTGAAATTGTACATGATTTTTAAGGTGTTTCCTGTCCGTGAAACTAGTTCCACACTGATGGCATATAAAACAGTTCTCTCTTGAGTGAATCCTCATGTGGGTTCTAAGAGTTTCTTTACTTCTGAAACTTCTTCCACACTGATCACATGTAAACGGCTTCTCTCCAGTGTGAATTCTCATATGAATCTGAAGGTTTTCTTTTCGAGAGAAACTCTTTCCACACAGATTGCAGGTGAAAGATTTCTCTCCAGCGTGAATTCTCATGTGGGTATTAAGGTTTCCTTTTTGAGTGAAACTCTTTCCACACTGATGGCAGGTGAAAGGGTTTTCTCCAGTGTGAACTCTGATGTGGACTTCCAGCTTTGCTTTTTGATTGAAACCTCTCCCACACTGAGGGCAAGTGAAGGGCTTCTCTCTAGTGTGAACTCTCAAGTGAACCTCAAGGTTTGCTTCGTTTTTGCAAGTCTTTCCACAGTGCAGGCACAAGTGAGGCTTCTCTCCAATGTGAATTTTTACATGATTCTTCAGATGTTTCCTGTCTGTGAAACTCTTTCCACACTGACCACATACGAATGACTTCTCTTCAGTGTGAATTTCCATGTGGCTTTTAAGGCTTCCTTTTTGACGGAAACATTTTCCACACTGGTGGCAGGTGAATGAACTCTCTCCAGTGTGAACTCTCAAGTGGACTTCAAGGCTTCCCTTTTGAGTGAAACTTTTTCCACACTGTTGGCAGGTGAATGGACTCTCTACACTGTGAACTCTCATGTGGGCTTTAAGACTTAGTTTTCGAGTGAAACTCTTTCCACACTGTTGGCAGGTGAATGAGCTCTTTCCAGTGTGAACTCTCATGTGGACATTAAGGTTTCCTTTTAGATTGAACCTTTTTCCACATTGTTTGCAGATGAAAGGCTTCTCTCCAGTGTGAACCCTCATGTGGGCATTAAGACTTGGTTTTTGAGTGAAACTCTTTCCACACTGTTGGCAAGTAAAAGGCTTTTCTCCAGTGTGAATTCTCATGTGGACTTTAAGGTTTCTGTTTTGAATGAAAGTCTTTCCACACTGTTGGCATGTGAAAAGACCTTTAGTCTTTTGAGCTCTTCTTCGTGATAAAGTCTTTTCAGTCTGTGAGCAACTGAAAGGTTCTTCAGTTATGAAACCTGGATGTTTCTTAATCTGGTATTTTTCTTCTGTTTCATTCATTCTCTCTTCTTTCAGTGCCTTCAAGTCTAATGTGAAAAAAGACAAACAACCCCAGTTTAAATGGCATCAAGCAACAGACATCAAAACGTTTAGACATGTAAAGCATTAAAACCAATGTGTATGCTCGATCCTAGGCTAGAATCACAACTTCTAAATATTGTTAACCCTTGGCTTACTTTAGGACTTGTCCGAAATACTTTCAAGCTTTCAGTTATCAAAACCTTATAAAAAATAAATAAAAAAAATCATATCACAGAAACAGTGCTTTGGCATATGATCATGGCTACATCTCTTATAGTGGTATTAGATTTTCAACAACACCAAGGGATGGGCACCATCAGTCCTGGAGGGCCACTGTTCTTTAGAGTTTCATTACTAACCAAACACACCTGTCAGTAATTTTCAAACAATCCTGAAGAATTAAGTTAGATTTGTTTGATTAGAGATGGAGCTAAACTCTCCAGGACAGTTGCCCTCCAGGAAGGTATTCCAGAAAGTAGATTATGCAACATGCTCAGGTAAGTTTACGGATAAGTAAACGGATAACCTCTGAATGAAGACACCTCATTACAGGTGCTCTAAGCGATGTCACGCGTTTTTTAGGCCAAAACATTTTTTGTCACATACAGCAAACATCTCCTCACTAACCACTGGCTGCCTGTCCCCTGAACACACTGTAAAGAAACGCGATCTCTGTAGACAGCCCAGGCTCCACAAACAGCAACAAAAACGTCTCGGTTACATATGGTAAACCTCGTTCCCTGAGGGAGGGAACGGAGACGTAGGTCAGACTGAAAAATAGGAATCTCGCTAGAGAGGCCAATCTACTTCGAGTGAAACTAAAACAAGCCAATGCACATTGGCGTGCAATCATTTGCATCAGCTGTGCAGCCTCGGGTATTTAACGAGCAGCTGTTGTGATTGCACAATAGAGGGTATGCGCACGACGTCACCGTCGGCCGGAGTGAATGCGGTCACGCCCACAAGTGGCAAAAAGACTGAGCGGCAGCATTTGTTTTCAGCGTGAATGCCGTGAAAATCACACAAAACACATCTAAAACGGGAAAGAGCTTTGCGATTGACTGTACAACTAGATTTGACCAGAAATCTGAGGCACTGTATATTTTTACAGACTGCAAAAAGCTACAGAACAGACTATATTCTGCATAATTGGATGTTTTTAAATAAACACTGACAAAAAAACTATACAAGTTTTAGGGCTGGACGATATGATGATATACAGTATAACATTAATGTAAGTGATCACTCGGATTTAGACCTATCTATATTGTATTTATATAAAACGTTTACAGGCAAATTGTCTTCATTTATTTCCCCGGCGTCGAAATCAGGCACATATAAATGTCAGGAAACACGATTCCTGGCTGCATGTCAATATCCATGGATCAATGGATCTTTGATAAGTTGTAAGGAACACTATATCGAGTCCAACTTTTAGTTTAAACTGATAATAGTTTGTTTTACTCGCGTTAACGCAGTTTCCCCTATTAACTCCAGTGTCGCAGCAGCTCTTCTGCCACTCAGTCCCGCTGAGGGGGGCGTGTTCCGGCGGGGAAGTGACGTTAATGCATTCCCTCTATAGTTTTTTGCTGAGGAGCCAAACCTGAAAAAGCTGGTCGCCCCGGCGGGGTGCAGCAGATGTGGCGACGGGACCTACGTCTCTGTTCCCTCCCTCAGGGAACGAGGGTTACCATATGTAACCGAGACGTTCCCTATCGGTCAGTCACTACAACGTAGGTCCGACTGACCAATAGGTATCCCTACCAAAGCGCCACAGCTGCTGCACCCCATCCAGCGCCCCGTGCAAGCCTCTACACCTTCTTGCCTGGAAGGACGATGGGAGGAGGCTTACACAGAGTGTATCTGTCACTGTTGTTCCGTAATAACCCATACAGTGAGATTATTGGATAACACTGAGAAAGCGCGTCCTTTCTATTTAGGAAGGAGAACGCTGCGGAAGCCACTTCTTCAAAGAGTTATGTGGAAAATACATATGGACTAACCCGAAGGTTGTACTGCATATGAATAATGGGAGACTTACCCCAAGGGAAAGACACAGGCTTCCGTCTTAGGAGCAGCCGTGGAGAATATACACATATGGGATCCCCGTAGGGTCACACATATGGAACCCAGCCCAGATCCGGCTCTCAAGGCTTTAGCGGATAAAGGCCTGGTACCAGACGCTCTGCCATGTCCGGGCCGAGGGGTTTTGGAGGACTCGACAGGCTTTTCACTCTGGAGCAATAAGGGTGCACAGTAGGGTGCAGCAAGCCGACAGAGCCGGGCCTCTCGGTGCTTCTACCAGTTTAGGGTGAGAACACGGGAGGAGACGTACACGTAGGCTATAATATCTAGCGAACGTGTTAGGTGTCGCCCAGCCCGCAGCTCTACAGATATCTGTTAGCGAGGAGCCACGTGCCAGCGCCCAGGAGGATGCAACGCCTCTCGTGGAGTGTGCATGCAACCTGAACGGGCAGGGCACGCCTTGTGCTTGGTAAGCCAAGGCGATGGCATCCACCATCCAGTGGGCCATCCTCTGCTTGGAGACAGCCTTTCCCCTCTGCTGGCCTCCGTAACAGACAAAGAGCTGGTCTGAGGTCCTGACGCTTTGAGTTCTGTCCACGTACATACGCAGAGCGCGAACGGGACAGAGCAAACCCAGGGCTGGGTCTGCCTCTTCCAAAGGCAGCGCTTGCAGGTTCACTACCTGGTCTTTGAAGGGAGTGGTAGGAACCTTGGCCACATAGCCAGGCCGGGGTCTTAGTACCACATGGTTGTCACCCGGCCCGAACTCTAGGCACGATTCGCTGACCGAAAATGCGTGCAGGTCTCCTACCCTCTTGACAGAGGCCAATGCAACCAGTAGCAAAGTCTTCATAGAAAGAAACTTTAAGTCTACTGACTGTAGAGGCTCAAAGGGAACATCCTGAAGTGCTCGAAGCATCAGGGAAAGGTCCCAAGAGGGTATGGAGGGGGGTCGAGGAGGATTTAATCATCTCGCCCCCCTAAGAAACCTGACGACCAGGTCGTGCTTCCCCACTATTTTGCCATCTTTGTGCTCGTGATAAGCTGAAATAGCGGCAGCATGTACTTTGAGGGTGGAAGGAGACAGCCTTCGCTCCAACCCTTGCTGCAAGAAGGAAAGCACAGACCCTATCGAACATCTTCGGGGGGCTTCTCGACGAGAAGAACACCACTCGACGAACAGGTTCCACTTTAGGGCGGGGACGTCTCGTGGACGGCGCCCGTGCTGAAGTAATGGTGTTAAGTACCTCAGGGGGTAAGTCACCTAGAATCTCCGCATCCCGTCCAGGGACCAGACATGGAGTTTTCAGAGGTCCGGACGCGGGTGCCATAGGGTGCCCCGTCTCTGAGTCAGAAGATCCTTCCTCAGAGGAATGGGCCAGGGAGGGACTGTCACAAGGAGCATGAGTTCTGGGAACCAAGTCCGGGTGGGCCAATAGGGAGCCACCAGAAGGACCTGCTCCTCGTGCTACCCTGACTTTGCACAGTGTCTGTGCAAGTAGGCTCACTGGGGGAAATGCATATTTGCGGAGGCCCCAGGTCCAGCTGTGTGTCAGTGCGTCCGTGCCGAGTGTTCCCTCGGTCAGGGAGTAAAACAGCTGGCAGTGGGAGGTCTCTGAAGAGGCAAACAGATCAGCTGAACCCCCTGGGGGTGGAGTCGCCATTCTCCTGGAAGCACAGCTCGTGATAGCTCGTTGGCCACACGGTTGAGCACACCGGGGACATACATGGCTCGAAGCGACCTCAGATGCTTCTGACTCCAGAGGAGGAGATGGCGGGCGAGTTGCGACATGCGACGAGAGCGTAGACCACCTTGTCGGTTGATGTACGCAACGGTCGCTGTGTTGTCCGTACGGACCAGTACGTCTCTGCCCTGTAGCGGCCTTTTCAAGCGGCTCAAAAGCGAGATGTACTGCTAGCAACTCGAGGCAATTGATGTGCCAATGCAGTTGGGGAGCCGTCCACACCCCTGACACTGCATGCCCGTTGTACGTGGCACCCCAGCCGGTGGCAGAGGCATCCATAAATACCACAGCATGCCAGGAGACCTGTTCCAAGTGGACTCCTGCCTGAAGGAACGAGAGGTCGGACCACGGGCTGAAGGTCTGGCGGCAGGCCGGTGTGATTGCCACCCGGTGAGTGCCGTGGTGCCACGCCCATCTCGGGACTCGGCCGTGAAGCCAGTGCTGAAGCGGTCTCATATGAAGCAAGCCGAGCGGAGTTACCACTGCTGCCGGCTGCCATATGCCCCAGGAGCCTCTGAAAAAATTTCAATGGGACCGCCCTCCTGACTTTGAATGTGTTCAAGCAGTTCAGCACCGACTGAGCGCGCTGCTCTGTGAGGCGCGCTGTCTGTGCGACCAAATCCAACTCCATACCAAGAAAAGAGATCCTCTGCACAGGGGCGAGTATGCTCTTTTCCCAGTTGACCTTAAGGCCCAACTGGCTGAGGTGCGTGAGCACGAGGTCCCTGTGTTCGCATAACTGATCTCGAGAGTGTACTAGTATGAGCCAGTCGTCGAGATAGTTGAGGAGGCGAACGCCCTGTTCTCTCATGGGAACAAGGGCCCCTTCCGTCACTTTCGTGAAGACACGGGGAGACAGGGGCAGCCCGAAGGGCAGGACCTTGTACTGATATTCTCGACCCTCGAACGTAAAGCGCAGAAACGGCCTGTGTCGAGGAAGAATCGAGAAAAGTACGCGTCCTTCAGGTCGATCGCTGCAAACCAATCTTGGGGACGGATGCATCCGAAAATGCGTCTCTGCGTGAGCATTTTGAACGGTAGCTTGTGGAGGCTCCGATTCAAAACTCGCAGATCCAAGATCGGTCGTAACCCAACACCTTTCTTGGGTACAATCAAGTAGGGACTGTAGTGCCCTGACCTCATATCGGCTGGAGGGACCGGCTCTATCGCGTCCTTCGCAAGCAGGACTGCGATCTCCGCACGCAAGACATGGGCTTGCCCGTCCTAGGGCCGCTTACCCCTGGCTTTGCCGCCCCTCTTGGTGGGGGCCTGGACGGGCGGGGCGCCCTGCCTGTGACTGGCTCCACGGCGCCGCTTAGGTGGAGGCTGCTGCTGCGGCGCGGGAGCAGGGGCAGACGCAGGAGGACGCCCTCGGCGACGAGCAGACTGAGGTGCCGCAGGCGGTGGGGTGGAGGCAGCAGCTGGTCGCCGCAGCAGGATGTGTCTGATGGCCTCCGTCTGCTTTTGTACAGCCGAGAACTGCTGGGCGAAGTTCTCGACCGCGTCGCCGAAGAGGCCGGTCTGGGACACAGGGGAGTTGAGAAACCGGAGCTTGTCAGACTCCCTCATGTCAGCCAGACACAGCCAGAGATGGCATTCCTGGACCACCAGGGTGGACATCGCACGATCCACCGATCGCGCGGTCACCTTCGTCACACGAAGCGCGAGGTCCGTCGCGATAAGAAGTTCCTGAAGAACTTGGGGATCGTGACCACCCTCATGCAGGTCCTTCAGTGCCTTGGCCTGATGGACCTGCAGCAACGCCATGGCCTGATGGACCTGCAGCAAGAGCCACCGGAACGGTTTCTGGCAGTAAAAGGTGCCGTCCACGTCCCCGTAAGTTCCTCATGCACTTCCGGGAAGAAAGGCACTGGGGTGGGTTGCTGAGAACCAGCGCACGCCACCCCGAGATACCAATCGTCCAACCTCGAGGGTTCGGGACACAGTGGAGGATTCCACACGAGCCCGACCCCGTTGGCGGCCCGGGAAAACATGGCCATCATCTCCGGGTCCGTCTCAGGCACCGCTGGCACACCCGAAGGAGGTAGCGGTGCAGAGTCGTCATCTGCAGAGAGGTCTGACCCACCCTCCGATGCAGCGATCGACATCTGGTCTTCACTGGGAGCCCCAAAGAAGACAACCGGTACACACCTCGAGGATGGTCCAGCTCTCTCCAATGGGGACTCAACTGGCTGTGGAGCATGAGAGGGGTGAGGGCTCCTAGGGGGTTGGTTCCCCGAAGTAGACGCACTCACCGTAATCCTCAGGTCACCCGCGCCACCGCCGAAGCAACCCTCTGCAGAGGCACGGGGACTCCGCCCCTTTGCAGAAACAAGAGTCTCGACCGTAGCTCCGCGATGGTCATCTTCCCACAATGGGTACATGACTCATCCACAAACGCTGTCTCAGCGTGTTTAATGCCCAGACACACAAGGCAGCGTTTGTGACCATCCTGTGAGCCCAGGTAACGATCGCATCCAGAAACACACAGATAGAAAGTCATCTTTTTTTTTCTATCTGTGTAAGCTCTTTTAGGGACTGCTCTCATTGGTGCTGAAACACGCAGGGGAACAGTCACTGCGAAGACAGAGAGGAATGTGCACCTGTCTGTGAGCTATCTCTCTCTCTCTCGCTGTCTTACCAGCTGTGAAAACAGCTTTTGAGCGCTCGTACGGCGCACCTTACCAGCTGTTACAACAGCTTTTGATTTGCTCAACACACAACAGACAGGAGAGAGAAAAAGAAGACTGCTCGCGCTGCCGTGCTGTGACGCCCGCACCGGGAAGAAGAGGTCCAAAGAAGAGGCTCGTAGAGTCACACTCTTGAAGATCAAGCTAGGGATGTTTCGATCTGTAATTATTATTCGAAAAATAAAATACTATTCGAATTTTATCGAATTTATGAAGCCATAGCCTAAATGCTTTGCTGGCCGTAAATGCAGTGAATCCCTGATAAATCCCAAGCACTAACTCGCAGTTATAACTAAATCCTCTGGGTGGCGCTGTGGTGCGTGTTTAACAAGTTGTTTGTATTTGATCACATAATGTCGTCGTCGTCTGCCTCGCGAAGTTTGGAATTAGACTACTAGTTGAAAATTATGTTACTAAATGATCTTAGAGAAGGGAATTACTTTTGATCAAATGAATTAATTAATCTGAGTTATAATATCATCAACACAATGAGAAATCACATGAAATCCAAACAGCAGGCGACTGAGGAAAGACAGCTGTCCATCACTACGACTGCAGGTAAGTGCAGCTGTAGCGCGCATGATCCGAGAGATGATAACTTATCTAATAGCAAAATTATTTTTTTAGACATATACTTCCCTTAAGTTTCATTGAGAGAGACACGTTTAAGAACAGAAAACGCAAAGTGCTGTTAGAAACTTATAACACCGTGACCGTTTGTGTCTCTGAATCGTCTGTCAGTGCAGCGCGTTTTCTCACTCGAGCATAAATTGCTGGCGCCCTGCATGTGGACATTATTGTTTTTCTCAACATAAACGTGAAACAATATACACGAATCATGCTGACTCGAGTGTGTGTGTAGGCTACGTTCTGTTCGATATCTGGCGCAGTCTGCTACTCTGCTTTATTAGGCGTTTTTTTTCCGCTCGCGCTGCTTGAGCTTACATCCTTTTGTTATTTATATTTTGTTTACACATAGGCCAACTGTTTAATGTTTTCAACTAAAAGAAAACTTTAACATATATTGTAAGCTTGTTGTGTATTGCCTAATCGTAAGCTTGTTAAGAAATTGTGACAAAATAGTTTTGAAAAATGTACTTAAAAAATAACGTCTTTTTCGTTAAATGTCATTTAAATAGGCTAAACGAATATTCGAATATTCGATTTCTATGAGCCCGAATATTCGAATGCATTATTTTTGAAAAATGCCCATCCCTAGATCAAGCATTAAGTCATTTGGCTCTGAAGCAAAAAGCTAGTGTGCAATCACAACAGCTGCTCATTAAATACCCGCGCTGCGAGGCTGCACAGCTGATGCAAATGATTGCACGCCAATGTGCATTGGCTTGTTTTAGTTTCACTCGAAGTAAATTGGCCTCTCTAGCGAGATTCCTATTGGTCAGTCTGACCTACGTCTCCGTTCCCTCCCTCAGGGAACGAGGTTTACCATATGTAACTGAGACGTTTTTGTTGCTGTTTGTGGAGCCTGGGCTGTCTACAGAGATCGCGTTTCTTTACAGTGTGTTCAGGGGACAGAAACTGGGCTAACCCGCTCCACGAAACATGACAAACAGTTCCAGCCAATCACCGACAAGAAGGACTTGGGGGCGGGGTTTGGGGGGTTAGTGCACGGATGAGGAGGAGGGAGGGTCTAGCTAGCCTCCGTTTTGTTTGACAATACTTTAAACGTCAACAAGAAGTGACGTCACCCGACATCGCTTAGAGAACCTTTAAACAAAAGTATGGAATGCCACAGGGCTCAGTATTAGGTCCTTTGCTTTTTAGGTTTTATGAGGTCTTCTCTTTCTCTGCCAATGATACAACCTGAAGAAACTGCTGAACTCTCCAAATTATTAGAGTGTATTAACTCTTTCCTCGCCATTGATGGAAATTTCTGTCATTTATAAGACACCGCTTCCCCGCCATTGACGGAAATTGTCAGCTTTTCACGTCTTCACTGTTATATGGAAGGGGGTGCTATTGCTGAAAGAGTACAGAACCTCCTGATCAAAACACATGTGAAGAAGAAGCAGAAACGAGCGATAGCATATGTAAGCAGATGCATATGTAAAATAACGCAATCATCAACATTAAACAGCATGTAAATCAAAACTGCCTAATGTTACCGAATGAAATGTTGACCCAGTCTGAGCTACAGGACTGTGAAGCTTTGAAGGTGTTGATGGTCTCAATCTATATTTTAGTCATAGTCCTGAATCTGATCTGGATGTAGTCTTTGACAAAAACATGTTTTTCTCAGCTTTTTGCTCAAAAAGTTTTTTTTTTTCTTTTCTATGAAACACCCACATTCAAGTATTGATAAAAAAAAAATCTTGAAGCTAGAATAAAACTTATTCTAAACTTAGAATAAAATATATATATATATTTTTTTTTTTTTTTTTAAAGCAGAGGCAATGTTCTTTCTTTCTTTCTTTTGAATGTTCTTTCTATTCTAGGGGCCATGCAAATTTTGTGAAAATAATCAAAAATGCTGATGGTGGCTGGCAACTTTTAAAAAACGCTGGCGGGGAAAGAGTTAATTATATCAAAGATGGGATAGCTAGCAGTTTTTATATAAAATTCTGACAAGACAAAGATATTCATTATAAGACCAAAAACATTCACACACACACACACGATTCTAGATCTCCATGGATGTACTGTTACATAGTTTTCTACAGTTAAAACCCTAAAGGAATAGAACAAAACATCCGTTTCAATGTTTATTTCACATAAAGTTTCACATAAGAGAACTATCACGTTTAAATGTTTTGCCACAACACGTCTTATGTGAAGCACAATGAGCTCCTGCACGGCATACGAACCACAACACTCACTGCTAACGGGTCGTGTGTGAAACAGGCGTTAGTGTGAAGAATATCCCACACGTGTGCTATAAGGATCAAATGAGTTCAGCTTTGAGAATTAAACTAACCTGTTTGTTCCTCAGTTTCTTCATGTTTCACGCTGAACACTTCTGCAATCTTTATGTCTTCACTCTCCTGTTTAATAAACGCCATCTTTATAATAGCATCACGTGGATCTCAGATGTTTTTTCAGGAGTGTTCCTGTGTGTTTGGACAAAGTCATGTTTAAGACGAGATTAAGAAAAAATAAATCCAAAATTTAGTAGTTTGTAGTCAGAGAACTGGAAAGGGAGTCAGTCAGCTTGATAGTTAATGGCCTGATTAGCCAAGAAAATAGGGTTGCCAAGATGCCATCTGTCTCGTATTAGCCATGACGTCCCTTATATTGGGCCTAATTGGTTTGTTTGTGATGCTGTTCATTTGATTTGGCATGAGTACTAAATGAGGCAACTAAATATTAACAAAGTAATTTTAGATACAGCCAAAAAGGCCTTTGATAGGGTCGAATGGCCCTATGTTTTAGAAAGATTTAGAAGTGGAAATTATTTCATAAAATGGGTAAAGGTTTACAAATGGAAATATTTCAAAAGCAATAAAAATCAGTAAAGGATACCGTCAAGGCCTTTGTAGTTCACACTACCAATTTAACCTCTCGCAATTGGAGTACGTTCACATCAGCAATTCTGTGGAACAGCAGAACCCAGAATATCCTTGTATGATGATGATATAATTTTATTCATGTCAAATTCAAGTAAAACAATTCCGGCTGTGTTACAGCTAATTAAAACATTTAGTGATCATCCCGTTGGATATAAGGCAAATAACACAAAATCTTCTATACTACTGCTCAACTCAAATGAAAGAAGGAATCCAATTTCAGAGGAATTTTAATGTTATAGAACAATTAAATATTTGAGAGTAAAGACTTTGCAAGGACTGGAAAACATTGTTGATGCTAATTATAAACATTTAATGATGGAAATAAATGAGTCAATTGATAGATGGATGTCACTACCAGTATCTATAATTGTGAGAATTTATATTTTAAAAAATACTGTACTACCCAAACTACTTTATTCCAAAACATTCCAGATTTGTTCTCAAATCAAACCCATGTTTATCAGATTTATATGGATCAATAGGAGGGCAAGACTTTGTCAAAGACGTCTTTGTTGTATTTACCAGTTGATAAAGGGGGCTTAAAATGTCCAATCTTACTGTGGCACTGCTGGGCTGCACAGCTGAGGTCTATCAGGTTTTACTTTTCAACGAGTCTCCACATATGACTGAAACGAAATCTTACAATCAAGCCCTACCTCTTCCCTCATTCATATACTCAGACACAGCACAAAAAACTACGGAAACAAACTAAAAACCCAATTGTAAAGCATATGTTATGACGTACAAAGACCCACATTTATTACCTCAATATAGTCCAATATGGGGTTATCCGTTCTTTCTACCAGGAAAAGCAGATGATACATTCAAATTGTGGGACTCTAGGGGACTTAAAACCATCCAAGATCTCTTCTGATATTATGATGTCTTTTGAGGCTTAGAAGCTTTGTTAAAGCAACTTGAGGTAATCCCCTTCCTAGACCCCCACATTTATCTCTGATAAAGGATAGTTTGAGAAAGCTATTAGGCTATATCTGAATTTTACAGGTTGCTATTCATCTAAAAATTCAGAGTATAAGTTGAATGCGTGGAAGGAAAACTTTTCGGATGAGGACTGGAAAGCAGCTTCTATAAGGTTCACACTATGTCTATAAATACTCAACTTAAATGTATACAGTATAAACGGTTAATGCAGACATGTAGCACCGGTGGAATTAAATAGATATGCTATAATAACTTACCAGACGAACAAAATGCATGGAAGATAGAGGAACTTTGTTTCTCTGTATTTGGCAATAGAGAAAGATTAAATCTTTCTGGGAAGAGATAAGAGTTATAACTGAGAAGATTCTTTCAAGATTTTACTGGAGCCTAAGTTTTTTTCTGTTGGGCTTAGAGAAACAACATTATAGTAGAAATAAGTGAGCTAATGCTCAACCAATGGAGAAGACTATTACTAGATTATATAAAGCATTGACAGATTTACAAGGAGATTCTTCTCCATGTTAAGGAGAGGTGGGAGAAGGAAAGCAGTTTTAATTAGAGTTACCTGGCCACATCTAGCCCCGCCTACGAGTCTCACACTGAGTCGAATGACGTCTCGTTAGTTTTTGAGCACTATCGCTGGGGAATAAAGTCTTTACCCTGGTGGAAAAAGAAATATGCTAAGTATACTTGCAGCCAGACTAATTCAGTATTCTTCACGTGTGTTAATGATTAGTTAACTTGAAGTGTGCTACTTTTAAACAACTAATTTTGTACTAAGTATATTTAGCTGTAATCAAATTGTAGGAAAGCATAACTTTAAGTGTATTTAGAGTACTTTTGTGTACTAAATTGGAACAACTTCAAGTATACTTTAAGTATATGCCTGTATAGGGACTAATTACATGCTTGATTAGTGATATTAAAGGGTACTTTATTTGTGTTACAAGTACATTACAAATTCATTGCGATTGTCTTCGAAACATACAAGCAATATACATTACCATAAGTGTATTATATTTGAGTAAAAAGTAAATGCTCAGAAATACCTTTGGCTTATTCCAAATACTACAAATTTCACACTTTGTCTTCAATAACAATAAACAAATAATACTTTGTACAAAATACTATTGTAATCTATAATGTAATTTGAAATTATACTTTTAATGCATTGTTACAATAATCATTCATTTCCAGCACAGAGTTAAAAATATACTTAAAATATATTTTCAATAAAGTGCAAATAAATACACTTTAAAAAAATAAACAGAATTTTCACTTCAAGTAAAAAAGTAAAATATATACTTTAGAAAAATTTCTAAAGTACAATTATTTTAAAGTGTGTTCAAAGTTGTATTGTGAAAATAGTTAAAAGCGTGATGCTAATATACTAATAATATATTTAAAGATAGTACCATATTTTGTTAGTATATTTGCCATGTACAATTGAAAAAGGGAATATATTTCAAATACAATAAAGCATATTTTCGCTAGGGCAGTGCTCCACTAACCTGTTGTGCATCAATAACTAGACAGACTCCAGACAGTGCCTTCGAATATGCTTTAATCACGGCCGGAGGATCTCAGACACACGTCAGAGAGAATCCTATCAACAAAAATACAACAGTTTTTATAGAAAAGGAGCATGGCAAAGCGGACATGATACATTACATAATTTCCCTACAATTTGATTGGTTCTTCACATGCAAACCCTTCTGTTGCTAGGTAGAAGCAAACTCGGCTTTCTTGATTGCTTCACTTTGTTACTCAAAGTCACGAGTTTATAAACCTAGACATCCGCCTAGTTTTATTTCCCCTTTTGTTATATTCGGACGTGATTCACCAACACACACACACTCAATCACAAGTTTTTGGCCAACGTTTTTGGAAACATTTAGGATTCAAAAGCATATAAATGTTATTCCTGCAAGAAAAATAGATGTTAGTTATGATTATTAAAAAAATCCATCACAGGCATTAGCCTATGCCGTTGGTTTCCTGGGAAAGGAGGAACAAATAAATATCTTTAGAATAGTTATTGCATCTAGCAAAAAAAAAAAAGCCTTAACTAGATTCTGGTATAAACCTAAGCCTCCGCAAATAAAGGATTGGATTGACATCTTAAAAAATATTTTCAATATGGAGAAAATTACATTTTATGTGAATTTTCAGAAGGATTTGTTTGTTGATTTCTGGTCAAAATGGATTGAGTATATAAATCCTATTGAACCAAATATCTTTTTGATATAGGGCCCAATGACGTGACGTGCAATTTAAGAAGTCAAAATAAGGAAATGTTTAATAAAAAGCACATTTATTGAATCTATTAATCTCTGTTTATCAAATGATATGAACATATATTGAGGGTATTACAAAGTGTAAGAATTATTAGACATTATAGTCGCATAATGTCATAACGGATAACTGTCCGGACCTTAGAGTGACATGCAAAAAAGCCAAACAAACTTTAAAAAATCTAATAAACCATAACATCTCTGCCACAGGCATTATTGTATGAGTCTTGACAACAATATATTACAAAGAATATGACATCCAGTTGATTGTTATGCTTTGGAGCATTCTGTCCCAAAACTGGCTGTCAGCCAATGTCATCCGGGATAACAAGCAAACTGGAGCAATTTTATTGTGAATTTTATTTTGACATGATGTGAGACAGCATGTTACACAATCAGGAAGACCCTGAAGGACCCCCAAACAATGGTGAAAGTCTTTTATGTCTTTCATAAAATGTGTTTAACTTACCCTTTTTCCTCACTAGCACACTATGTAGTAAAATCCTGTCATATGGGATAAAGCTAAAATAACATATATAATGTGGATTGTATGTAAATATGTTTATTTAGCATGAATTTACATATTTGGAAGTTGAAGGTAAAGGTTGCAGATTTCTATAGATAGCCAATAATACTGCCTGATTAAGATTTAAACTGAGTTTTGTCATACCGGATAACAATTTTGTCATATAGGATAACAGTTGTTAGCAGTCCATATTGTCATCCGTTATCTTGGATGACATGTGTTTGACAATATATTCTTATACAGTTTTCAGCTTTAATTTGTATAATTTCCATTCAAATTGTGATATTAACATATCATTAACATTGTTTAGTTGAATATTAGCAAATTATATAATTCATAATAATATTCAATTACAGTTATTAAATGTTATTTTAGACAATGTCTATAATAAATGTAGTGTTTATTTAATGAAATTTAGTGATTCAATGTACTTCAACCCATTAATATGATTTTTCTTTATAAATATGTTGTTCAATTACATGCTTTTGTAAATTTGTTGTTCAAATAAATAATGTTCAGTGAAATGAGTGAAGGTCGCCTACTTTAACCCTTTACATGTAGAGTGTAGTCTGGGTTTCCCCATGCTGCCTTCCCGCAGCGCGATTTAATTCACGCTGAAAGGCAGTATGGATCCCATGGACCAAATTTTCGCCTCATTTAGGGAACCAATCACAGAACGGGGAGGGAGCAGCAAGACGATGACGCGTCTATGCGACACACCGAAGCAGTTTGTTTATACCTATGGATCAAACATGGCAGCAGACGCGAAGT